ACCAGAGGATTGGGACTTTCAGCCACCTGGCTTTCAGAGAGAAGAGGGGTTGGGGACAGGGTTCTATCTTATGGCCAACGAGCCTATCAATCATGCCCACCTAACGAACCCCGATTAAAAGCTCCAGACACTGAGACCCAGGGCAGCTTCCTGGCTGTGCACACAGAAATGTCACAGGAAAATGACATGCCACAATTCCATTAGGAGAGTCTGCAGAAGCACCATGTTCCTCAGGCTCACCCCACCTCTTCTTATTGTGTCTTTCTAATGAAGCTACAGTTGGAGGTACAGAGCCTTCTAGAGTTCTGGGAGTTGTTCTAGCAAATTACAGAATCTGAGGGGGCTGGGGGAACTCCTGAATTTACATTCAGTTGGTTGGAAGTGTGAGTGGCCTGGGGTCCCCCAGATCACATGCAGCATCTGAAGTAATGTCAGTCTTTCTGGGGACCCTGCTCTTTAACATGTGGGGTCTGTGCTTCAGGGTGGTGAGGGCAAAGTGTGCATTGCAGGACACTCACTTGGGGGTTGAAGCAGAATAGGATCCCAACTGTTCCCTCTACCAGTGTGACTTTAGAATACAGGATCAAATCCTGACCTTTCCATTTACTATATGTGAGACTTTAGGAAAATCAAAATTGCTCTCTGCAACTCAGTTTTTTCATCTGAAAAATGGTGATATTAGTAGCACCTACCACAGTAAATGCATAAGCAATAAATAACTCAGTGTCTGACATAGTAAACGCTCGTCCATAGTGTCATGAATTTCTATTTCAATGTTACCATATCAGAAAGCCTGCTCTGCTGTCCTCTTTTCCTCCTGTAGCAAGTAATGTCTCATCCTTCCTCTGTTGTGCTCCTCTTCTGTTCCTTACCACCACTTTTATCAGTCAGCTCTTCCTGACATAATGCCATGTAGCAAGTTGTCCCTAAAGCTTGCTCGAAAGCCTGTACTTGGTGGTCACATCTCTACAGGATGCAGATTGGCTGATCCGAAGCATGCTCAGCTGAGCAGTTCAGCCTGTCTTCAGGTCTTCTGGCTTGGCTTGAGGGTCCAGGTTGGCTCAACAGGAGTTCCTTTACTTTGGGACCAGGGGTCACTCAGGTGTGTTCCCACAGCAAGGGCGGCACTCACATGTGAGCTGCTCATCTTCCTGGTAGAGAGCCTCTGTTACGTGGCAAAATGTGGTGCCAACATCAGCAGAGTGTGAGGAACTGGGGGGTGAAGTGCTCACCTACCATTCCACTGGACACGTTCCACTGTCATCTGTTTCTGCCTGGAGTGTATTTCCTACCACTGTCACATACACTCCACGAGCACAGGGACTTTACTTATTCTGTCCACAGCTCTGTCCCCAGAGTGTGCTTCAGCACCTATGGACTGAGCTCATAGACACATGAGCTATGGGAGAACAGGCACAATCACGTAGCCACCCCCCTCTCCATCCTGCGGAACACCTTCTGACAAGCTAGGAATGGGCAGATGGTGACCCTCAATGGAGGTAGCTGAGGTTGACGGCCTCCTGACATCAGAACCCTGAAGGGAGTGCAGGGCCACAGTTACCAGGCCAGGTCATGCTCCTGCTTTTAGTCACATGAGTAACTTTATGTTCAAAACAAGAGTCTCAAGTCAGAGCTACTGATAAAACACATTTCAGCATTACAATTCCCTTGACTTTGCATCCATCCCAGTAAAAGGGAACTCTAGTACTGAGCCAGCTTTATTGAAGCAATGCTCACAGCGTGGATGAAAACAGAACTAACTGACTTCTCCTCAGCATGCAGAATTTTACACCTGGAGTTGGAGATGTTGAATTAAGCCCACTCTTCAATGTTTCTTTGGCTTTCCTCAAGTAATGACACCATGAATGAAAAAAATCCTAAAAATACAAATTCTCTGCAATTTAGCAAATGGAGGGACAACGAAAAGTCTAATAATAAACTTGAGACAGACTAAATACTATGTAATTAGCACACTTGAGCCAAGACAGAAGAAAAACATGTGATTAAATCTGAATACTTTAGGAAGAAATAAAAATGGTCCAATAATAGCTAAATCAACCAGAATGGGAAAGGTTATAAAAAGCAACCTCCAGTTGATTTTGTCAATAAGAAGACATGGGACCAAATAGAAAAGGCTGGAAGGAAATGGGGAAAACACAGGACTGGTGCAAAAAAGTGAAGATGATGTTATTTTTGCAGAGCGAATGGTTGGATGCTGAGGAAGCACAAAGGCGTGTGAAGTCCAGTTCCCCCACTGAGCAACTCCTTCCTGGGAACAAAGCCCGGTGGGGTGCTCTCGTGGGGAGGGGAGAGGCTTGGAGCTGAAGACCTGCCAATCAGGAGAGTGCAGCCTCAGGCACAAGATCTTTGTGCCACACAGGGCTCCAGATGTCCTCGTTACCAGGAAACAGGAGTTCGCCACAAGGTCCGCTCCAAGGGTGACAGAAGGCGTCCCTCTGGGCCATTTCTGATCCTCAGTTCCTCCCCCAATCAAGCCTTCAAACTCAGCATTATAGTGAGGGATCTCACTGTGCTCTTGAACTTTCAGCTTCCAGAACTGTGAGCCAAATAAACTCTTACTCTTTCTAAATTCCCTGTTCTCTTTGTAGATCGTTGAGTAGGTCTCAGGTCTGGAGAAGTCTGCTGACACATATGTGCAATTGCTATAGAAGGAAAACATTAACATGTTGTTCTTTGTGGCAGGCACAGGGAGGCAGAAAGAGTGGCTGGAGATGCTGCCAACTGGGTTGGGCAGGAGGGACAGAGGTGGGGTGGAGTGGTGGTCACTGGCGCTGCCCACTAGTGCCTCCTGTGGCCTCTTGGCTGTGCCCCAGGGCTGCCCTCCATGCTCTTAAGGGGAGATGAGGTGATGCAATATGCTGCCAGAGCTACAAAATGTGTCCTGGGCTGGCATTTGGAGCCGGTGTGTGTCCCTCTGTCTTCTCCAGCACATGGAGGGGGTCTCCCCAGCTGAGTCCCTTACCTGTCCCTGCATCACTCCCAAAGGTCCTGGTGAGTCCATAGTGAATGATGACCGTCATCATTCCATGGGGTTGTTCCCATGCATCCCTGCATGATACAGCACGTGGTGGTCACTGGGCAGCTGTGGGTCAGATGAGGGGGACAGACACATGCACACTTCCAGAAGGCTCCACAAAGTATTAGGAGGCTTCTTTGGGACTCAAGGGGAGCAGCTAGTACAGTATAGCATGGAGTAGGCACTCAGGAAAAGCTAGGACCTACCAGCGGCCTTCAAGGCCTCAGTTTCCCTGACATTAAGATGAGGCTTCATGGATGAAGCAGATGGCTGCTGCCTTAGTTCAGGCTGACAGAACACAGACTCAGCAGCTTCTAAGCAGCAGGAGTTAATTTTTCATAGTTCTGGAGGTAGACGCCTGCAATCAGGACAAAGCCCTCTTCTGGGTCTCTGTGTTCCTGGGTGGCAGACGGAGAGATCTCTACAGTCCCTTTTCAAAGGGCACCAACCCCATTCGTAGGGCTCCGGCCTGAGGATGGAATCACCTCCCTCAGGCCCCAGCTCCTGGTGCTCCTGATGTTGCTGGGACACAGCCATGGCATCCCTTGTGGTCTCTGGGCCCCCTGCTTGAGTTCCCCCAGGAGACTTGAGACTTCACACTGTCCCACTGCACCCATGCCTGTGCCAAGACAGTGATGGATTACTTGGAGGACACCAAGTGCACAAGTGCCTTCCCCTCCTTGGACGAGAAGCAGGATGATTTCCCTGCCCTGAGAGTCATTTGTTACATTCATCAAACAAACCCCTGACAGCCCTTTGCAAAGGAGTGAGCTCAGTTTCCAGATGTCCCAGGAGGCCTCCTGCATGAGCACCTGGAAGGTGACCCTAGGCATCCAGGGAAGCCACAGCACTTTGATTGGGCTTCTGATGAGCCCTCCCTGACACTGGCTGTTCATTTTTCACTTGCTTGTGTGATTGGATCTGCTTGGCTGCCTGCACTTCAGGGCTTTGCTCTTGGTGAAACTGTTTTGCTTCTGCATAAGCTGTGGTGCAGTGGTGGCTATCGTCAATCCCAGGAAGCCACACCAGGCAGGTGAGCCCTCCTCTCTCAGCCTTGCAGTGGCATTTCTGTGTCCTCCATCGATAGGCTCTGGTGCACGGGTGTTTCCACCCTCCTTCCCCAGCAAATCACCCCTCCTGGCCTGACTCCTTCACACAACAGAGAATCACTGAGCACCACTGCATGCCAGGCTGGGCATCAGGGGCGGCAGTCGGCAGGGCATGCTCCCACGTGTCTGGGGGCCACAGGCTTTCAGCACAATGATCAGCCAAAACACAGGCTGGGGACAGCTGGGAAAGCCACATCCGTCCTGCACAGAGCCCACCTGGTGCTCACCTCAATGACACAGCTTACTACGATCCTTTGTGGTAATAAAATCAAACATACAAAGCCCCTGCTACTTATGTTTCACAGAACCCCTCTATACATCCCATTATCCTTTCTGTTTTATGCCTGAGGACCCGAAGTACAGAAGTGTCAAAAACTTGCTCAAGGTCACATGGTGGAGAAGTGGAGGAGCCTGGGTTTGACCTCAGAACTCTGCTCTGAGCCTGGATTTTCCATCCCTCCATCATTACTCCTGGACAGCCATTGGCACCATGTGGCAAAACACTAAAACCAAGCCCTTTCACCCCCTCCGAGGCTGGACACCTTGGACTACCTGGGGCCCCTCCTTCTGCTGCTCCATCTTGTCTAACAGTCACTGCATTCTCTGTTGTTGCTCCTGCTCTTCTCCACCATGACACAGCTCCACATGATCCCCTTTGCTTCCTCCAGCAAATTCCACAAATGACATGCAGCACTCACCTCCCCACACCCCAGATCTGCTGGACTCCTCCCCTCATGGCTTCCTAAAGAATAGCACAAACCCTAAGCCCAACATTCCTCTTGAAAGTCAGAGAGAGAGAGAGAAAGAGAGAGAGAGAGAGAGAGAGAGAGAGAGAGAGAGAGAGAGAGACTGACCTTCTGGCTTCTGATGTTTCCTCACATCAAGTTACGGAGTTGTAACTTGGGGCAGCATTGGGGTGGTGAGTCCTGAGCTTCACTCAGCCCACAGTGCTTAGGGCTCCACCACAGACGGCTCGCTCTCACCAGTTCTTATATTTGCTTTCTCCTGTGCCAACCTGGGGACATTTAAGAAAAGAAGATACGACTGTGGTCTGCATGAGTGTCCCCTAAAGGTCTATGTGCAAGCCATGAGTGTCCCCTATGTGCAAGGCATGGTCCCCAGTGTGGTGCTACTAGGAGGTGCTGTGTCTGTGGGGCCTGGTCTCTGTACTCTCTGCTTCTTGTTCAAGATATGAGCACTCATTTGAAGACGCACCCCACCATGAGGTGCCACCCTCACCAGAGATTCAGGGACATGGGGCCACCCAGTTGTGGACCTGAACCCTCAAATAAACCCCTCTTCATAAGTGGTCTGTGTCAGGATTTCCATGTAGTGACATAAGCCACTACAGACACTGATCTTGGCTTCCATTTTCCTTTAAATGTGAAGAATATGTCTCAGTTGAGAGACTGCTTTTCCAAGGGGAAGACCGGAAACCACCTTCTCCTAGAAGCTCAGGTGGCCTGGTGTACCTTTAACGTGTACCCCGTGGACAGAGTCACCACCTCCACTCAGTCCTTCTGCAGAAGGAAACTTCCAAACAGCAAGGGTGGGAGGTATCTTCTCTTGGGAATCTGAAATATAAATATCCAAGAAGGAAGATTTCTCCACAGGGAGCTGAACTGGAGAACTCTGATAGAAAACAAAGAAGAGCCTCCTGAGTCTTCAGTGAGCAGGATTCTAGGTCTCCTGCACACCTTTGGGCTCTGGTGCCGTACGCTCAGAATTTCCTGACAGTTCTGCCCCTGGTTGGATGCTCTTCATGTATTGTTGCTTCTTTTTGTACTTCTGGGGCAAAGGCAGCACTGAGGAGACCTCTCCACTCATTTCAATGTGGGAAATGGAGGAGGAGGAACCAGACCATTAACACCTCATGTCTTGTCTCCATGTCTCTTCAGATTTTGGATCTCAAGAAAGAGGAGATGATATTGCATTAAACAAGGCAAAACTATTGCTCATTAGATGCATGCTGGTGGCCAGGGTGACGGTCGAGCACTTCTGTGGTGGGTTGCTGGCTCTGGGATGTGGCTAGGAGTGAATTCTGGGGAGCCTGTCCTTGGAGCTCACACGATGTGAGGAATTCACATATGGACCAATGCGATCACCACAATTCACCAAACTGGCCCAAATGCTGGGACAAGTTGGCAATAAGACACAGGAAAAGCCAAGTATGAGCCAGGGCAAGCTGCCAGGGACAAGTCCAGGTTCCTTTACCACCAACAACTTACTGTGATCTCTTGTGATAATAAAATCAAACTACATGCAACAGCTCCCTCTCAAGGCACACACAAATGTGTGGTGAAGGAATAAGTAAAATAAAAATAGATAAACAAGAGAACAAGAAGTCATCTTTCTGGTCACCTGCTCTACCAGCAGTCTGTGACTTAGATCAGTAACCAGCTCACAGGTAACTCCAAAACTAACTGCTGTGTTCAGGACAGATGCCACCTGTGGCAGGAGGAGGAGGTGAGGGGCTGCATGCTTTCATCTGATAGCAGTTCTGGAAGGTGACTGCTTCACTCCATGAGCAAACAAAGGCTAATGCTGGTCACGTAACTTGTGCAAGCCCAAACAGGAAGCAGAGAGTCGCTGCAAGGATTTGAACCCAGGCTTACCGAGTTCAAAGCCCTGCTCTTCCTAAAATGTCGTGACTTTTCAAACTTGTTCCACAGGGCAAGATGGCACAGGATAAGCTTGGTTGGGCTATTCTGCTGCTAAAGTCAAATAATTATTTATAATGACAACTTTTGCCAGTTTGTATGAAAACTTAACTGAGAGAATTTTCTTAAATTCATATTTTTCTCTTATTTTTTCTAAGCTTTTGTGCTGGGTACCCCTCATCTGATAGTGACATTAACAGCCCAAAAGGAAATGAAAAATTAGGTAAGGATAATTAACAATCATAAATCCTCTGTTCCATAGATTTTCTTTTATTGTAGAATAAATGCTGTCATTTTGATTTCACATTGAACTTGCATTCCAAGAGCCTCAGGGTCTCACAAGAGAGTTATATATGTGAAGTTCATTACAAACATGTTTGGACTGGATATCTTGAAGAGGGCCGTCCATCTGAGTGTGGACATCAGGACAAAACCAGCTCCAAATTAGCAAGGACGCACCAGGGGTGATGAGATTAACCTCCCATTCAGAAATAGTGGCTTGGGCTAGGGATTTAGCTCAGTGGTTCTGCCGCCTGTCTCAGAAGTCCAAGGTCCTGAGTTCGATCCCTGGTACCAAAACCAAAACCAAAACCAAAACACTATGTTGTAAAACTACACTGGATAATACAGAAGTAGTGGCTCATGTTCCTTCCTTACCTTCAGCAAGTAGCTTGTCTAGCCTGGTTTCTATTCCGGAGAGAAACGGTCCTGGGTGACTCAATACATCACAGGTTTTCCACCAAAGACATGTCCCTTTTACACAAAGGAGGGCAATCAGGCCGCTGCTTGAGAACTACAGAACAGCATTTTGATCTTGCAAACAATGATATAAAAGCCAGATCCTAGGGGAATCAGCCTCCCAGAACAAAAGGAAAGAGGGAGCTTTGAAATCAACCAGGTCTGAAGCTCAGCAGCCCTGCTGAGAGGTCAATTTCTTCCTTCCTGGATCCATTTATTCAGTTACCCTTTGATTTACCTATCTACCATTTACGCAGCTCCCTCTGTGCTGTGCAGTACATTGTGAGACCCAGGATGACCAGGGCAGTGAGATCACCGGCATCAGGGAGCTCCCAGTCTGGCAGGAGACAGGAGTGGTAAATTGATCTACACTGTGCCCCTTGGGCTCTCCTGGGGACTTAAGAGGATGCTGGAGCCAGGGAGGAGTGGGGCCTCCCAGAGGAAAGGCTATTGTATTTCCACATTGTCATGATTCTCAAAAGAATCTCTAGGTGTGACAATGGCCACAAAAGAAAAAATGGATTGCACTTCACCAAAATTAAAAACATCAGAGGACACTATCAGTACTGTAAAAAGGCAAATCATGGAAAATATTTGCAAAGCATCTGCCTAACAAGGGATTAATAGCCAAAATATATGAAGAACTCCTACAACTTACAAAATATCCCAAGCAAAAAAAAAAAAAAAGGACTTGAGTAGATATTTCTCTAAAGGATATGCCCATGTAACCACTGGGTATATGGAAAGATTCTCAACATCATTAGCCATCAGAGGGCAATGCAAAGCAAAACCACAATGAGATGCCACTTCACACCAACTAGGATGAGAAACGACGGAGTTCAAAATGTTGGCAAAAATAGGAGGAATGGTAACCCTTGTGCATTTTTGTAAGAATGCAAAATGTTGCAGCTGCTATGGGAAACACTATGGTAGTTCCTCAAAAAGTTAGATTCAGAGTTCCCATGTAATCCTACAACTCCACTTCTGTGTACATGCCAAAAAACATTGAAAGCAAGAATGTTGTCAAACAGATATCCATACACCCCTGTTTTGCGGAAGCCGTATGCACAATAACCAAGTGTGGATCAACCCATACAGATAAACAAAATGTGTGGCATTCACTTGGCCCCCTGTGTCCTTGGGTTCCACATTTGTTTTTTCAGCCATGTATTGAAAATATTTTTAAAACTTGTTTCTGTACTGATCATGTGCAGACTTTTTTCTTGTCACTATTCCCTAAATAATACAGTATAACAACTACATAAATAGGATTTCCATTGCATTGGGTATTATAAGCCTTCTAGAGATGATATAACATATTGCAGAGGATGCGTACAGATTATATACAAATGCTGAACTATTTTACATAAGGGACTTAAGCGTCTCTGGATTTATGTATACAGGGGTGATGGGGAGAGGGGGAGGAGGGTGCCCTTGACTACGTTGGTTGGTTTTCAGTTACTGAACAAGCCATGCATACCTGGAATAAGCCCATTGGTCATAATGTCTGTATAGTACTTTTTATACTGTTGGATTCTATTCTATATTTTATAAAGAAATTCACACCTATTTTCATGGTGTTTAGCATTCTTCTCTTGTATTGTTCTTTTCTGGTTTATATATTAGAGTAATAATGGTTTCACAAAAGGAATTTTGAAATGTTGCTACTCTAATTTCGGGAAGTCACTGAGTAGAACTGGTGTCAATTCTCTTTTTCATTAGTTTATGTTTGCAATACATATTGATTATATTAGCTTTGGGGATGTAACTGTTATGGGGAGGTAAATAAATAAATAAATAAATAGTTATTCAATATATCATGTCTTGGTATGTTACAGTGGAGTCATCCTGGCCTAGAGATTGCTTTTTAAAAGAGATTTTAATTAAGAATTCAATTTCCTTAATAATTACAGAGCTTTGCAAATTCTCCATTTCATACTGTGGCAGGTGTGGTAGTTTGTGTCTTTTGAAGAATCATCTATTTGTTTCACTGATTTTCTCAATTATTTTTCTGTTTCCCTATTCACAGCTTTCTAATTATATCATCATATTCTTCCTTCTGCTTATTCTGGGTTTATTTTACTCTTTCTTTTGTTTAGTTACTTGAGGTAGGGGCTTTGATTCTTGATTTAGAGAGGTCTTCAAACTTCCTGATGAAAGCATTCAATGTTATCAAATTCTTTCTCACCATTAATTTAGCTGTGTCCCACACATTTTGATATGTTATGTTTTCATTTTTGTTTAATATATTTTTAATTAAACACATTAATTTTATATTAATTACATACATTAATTAAATACATTTAGGACTTCCTCTTTGATCTGTCATTTTAAAATGTGCTAGTTAGTTTCCAAGTTGTAGATATTTTCTTATCAATTTCTAGTTTGAGTCCATTGTGGTCAAACAATATACTAAAATTTTATTCGTTTTTTTTTTTTTTTTTTTTGGTACCAGAGATCAAACTCGGGACCTTACGCTTGTTGGGCAGGCATTGGAACCACTGAGCTAAATCCCCGGCCCTGTTGAGGTTTATCTTGAGGCACAGGTGTGGCCTATCTTGGTACATGTCCCATGGTTCTTGAGAAGAGTGTGGATTCTGCTGCTGTTGGATGAAGCCTTTTATAAATGTGGAATAGATGAGATTGATTGATGGTATTAGGCCTATATTCTTATTGATCTTTTTCTAGATATTGAAGTCTCCAACATTAATTATGGATCTTTCTATTGCTCTATCAGTTTTTGTTCAGCTCTGTTAATATCTGCTTCGCATCTGTACATGCCATGTCTGGTGCACAGATGTTTAGGGCTGCTGTGACTTCTTGGTCCATTGGCCCTTTTATCATGATGAAAGGTCCCTCTCTGTCCCTTTCATTTTCTTTCTACACTCTGAACTCTATTTCATCTGGTGCTAGTATAGCAATTTCTCCTTTTAGAGTCAGTATTAATGTGGCATCATATTTTCCATCACTTTGTGTCAAGTACATCTATAATGTTAAATTTCAAGTAGATTCCTTAGAGACACCATGTAGATGAATCATGTTTTTAAATCCATTCTGTCAAACTGTCTTTTACTTGGTATATTTAGACCATTTACATTTAATGTTCTGATACACTGGGGCTGAAGTTAGAACATTTTTAGTATTTCATTTTTTTAATCTACAATTACGTTCGTTTTTATGCTGGGGATTGGACCCAGGGCCTCATACATCTGCTCTACCACTGGGCTACTCCCAGTCCTCTGGTGTTTCTAAATCCATCTCTTTGCATTCTTGTTTAGTGGTTGCTGAGATTATTGCATTATATATACACAATGTATCAGTCTGCTGAACCAGTTTTGGAGAAGTTAGAAATTTCCCTTCCTTTATGGCCTTTTACCTCTCCCATTCCTGATATCATTGTCTTACATCTTCCTTCTCCATGCATTGAAAGCCACATGTGGTCATGTTATGTTCGTTTCCATCATCACATATAATTCTAAAAACTGAAGAAAAGAACACAAGCCTTTTCTCTTTATATTTTTGCTAGCTATAACCTTTTCTTCTTTCATGTTGTTTTATAATTTTTCTAGTTCACCTTTTTGGTGAACATGTTACAGATAACTTTTCATCAAAGACCAGACTCCTCAGATCCTCCTCTCTTCGCTTAAGCTCTTCTCCTCTCAGGGGGGCAGCAGTGGAGGAGGGGAGAGGACCGCCTGCTGGTGTGGCAGTAGCTGCAGGAGCCGGTCTACCAGTCCTGCCATTGCAGAAGCTCCCCGTGTTGGCACTGGCCAGGGCCCTGGTGAACAAGCTGGAAAGCGAGTTCCACATCCACACTGCTGCCTCAGGAGGACTTGGGCTCGTGCCCATAGTGCTCACCTTGTGGTCGTACAGGGTGACACAGAGTAGATGTAGGTGAGCTCAGGAATGGAGGCCATGGTGAGGACTGCCAGTGCAGTGCTAGTTATCGAAGTAAGGGAGGTCCTCACCCCAGCTAGCCTCAGTTTTTCTGGAAGGATGAGCACTTCAGCAGCAGCTGAAGGGAGAAAAAGTTCTCTTTTCCCATTTCCTTCCTGTTTAGAAAAACTCTTTTAGCCATATGTTAGAGTAATTTTATATTTTAATCTCTTAGAGGATGTTTTTACTCTTAATTTCCCTTCGTCAGAGAATGTCTTGATTTTTCCTTCATTACTGGGACATTTGCCCTGGATACAGGATTCTGGGCTGACAGTTCTTTTCTTTCAAGATTTCAAAAAAGGATGTGGCTCCATTGTTTCTGATGATAAATCTGCTATCAAAAAAAGAAAAGAAAATCTGCTATCATTCAAATTATTTTTCTCCTGGAAGTAAGTCATCATTTTTCTCTGGTTACTTTCAAGATGTTTTTCATTGCATTAGTTTTCAGTTTACCAATGATGTGTCCTGGTATGGATTTCTTTCAATTTATCTTGTTTGGGGTTTGCTCGGCTTCTTTTTTTTTTTTTTTTTTTGGTATGGGGGATCAAACTCAGGACCTTGCACTTGCAAGGCAGGTGCTGGAACCACTGAGCTTAATCTCTGGCCCCTTTGGCTTCTAGACAAAACTTCTTATACCTTCATTAAATATGGAGAAATTTTAGCCGCTTTTTTCTTGAGTGCTTTTGGAGGCCAGCACTGAGTCCTCCCCTTCCCAGACTCCAACGACACGAAGCTATATCTTTCCTCACAGTGCCATGACCTCCAAGCCTCTATACCTCTCCTTTCCTTTATCAGTCTATTTTCTCTGTTACTCAGATTGGTACCTTATATTTCTCTATCTTAAAGTTCACTGATTCCTTCCACTCTTCCATCCTACTGTTAGTTTCATCCCTTAAGATCTTTATTTTATCTTATTTTTAGTCCTAGGATTTCCATTTAGCCCTTTATGTCTTCTGTTGTTTCACTGGGATTTTCCGTTTTTCATTTGTTCCATCTATTATTGCTCAGAACATTTTTATAAGGGCTGCTTTAAAATCTTTGTCCCTATCACCCACATCACCTTGATGTTGGATCTTCCTGCTCGACCTGCTGTGAAACTCCCAGTGCCATGGTTTTGCCAAGGATTGAGACTGTCCCCAAGACTTCCATTGTTTATTATTATTTTTATTCCAGTTGAGGTTCTCCTGATCCTTTGTATGATGGGCGATTTCCATGGAAGCCTAGACACTTGGGCTGTCATGTTATGTTGGGGAAGCACACCTGTTGCACCTCCCATGATGTCCAGCCTCTGCCTTGAGCCTGGGGCACGGCCAGAGAGAAGCCTGGCTAGCTGGTGGCTGTCCACTCTGAAGAGTCTTCCTGCTTACCAGGGGAAAACTCCGCTGTCCTGGTTGCACGTGAACTTCCTTGCACTATGCAGGTGTGGTTGTGGCACCTGGCCAGTCCCAAGATTCTGTCGGTCCCATGGGGAGGGATGCAGCACAGGGGTGTGTGTGCAATGCACTGCCCATAATCAGGGCAGGGCTTGCAGGCCATAAGGTGGAGGCGCCCACTGTCATGTGCTGCATCCTCCTTGGTGACTCTACCTGATATAGAAACAACACGCCATGTCTGGGAGCCCTTCTTCGGAGGTTCCCACTCCCTTCACTGTCTTCAGGCAGAGGAAGTCACAGCCGGGACCCTTCTGCTGTGGAGCTCTGGGTATCTTGGGTGGGTTGTGTGTCCCCCAAGGTGGCACATGCAGAGACCATCTCCATCAGGAGCTGTTAAATGGATGGCAACTTTACCCAACCATGGTGTTTGAGGTGGGGAAATTGTGGGTGATTAGGGTTAGATGAGGTCGTGTAGGCAGAGCCCCGGGATGGACTCTTGGTGGCCTTATAAAAGGAGGGAGAGAGGGCTGGGGATTTAGCTCAGTGGTGCCGCCACCTTCCTCGAAAGCACAAGGCCCGAAGTTCGATCCCTGGTACCAAAAAAAAAAAAAAAAGGGAGAGAGACAGAGGACAGAGGATCTAAACACACACTCCTCCCTGTCTCTTGCCATGTGACATCTGGCACCATCTTGGGATCTGGCCAGCAAGCAGGACACCACCAGATACAAGCCTTGGACCTGGGGTCAGAGCTGTGAGCCTGCCCCCATCTCTGTGTCTGGAATGTTGCTTACCTCAGATGTTTCAATATAGTAATGAGAAAAAGACCAACACTCAAGCATTCAAGAAACAAAGTAAAACATAAGACCCAGGGAACTCATTACCATGTCATTCCAGGCCTGAGGGCCCAGTGCTCTGTTGCTTCTCTCTACTTTTCAGAGCTGCTCACAATGTCTTACAGAAAACGTTCAGGATTCTTAGCTCAGCTTAGCAGAAGGATAAGACCCGTCTCCTCCAGATCTCTGGAAAGAGAAATCTCCATTTCTTTTCACTGAACCATTTTCTTCTTGCTGTGGGTGACATGGAAGCCTCCCTTTCCAGTCCTGGGACAGTGTTGGAAGATCCCACCTCCTCCATACTCCCTGAGTTCAAAATAGGCTCCTTTCTTCTCCACCTTTACCTTGTTCAGAAATGCATTGCCTCTTGCTTTCATTACAATTTGTCTCTACCCTGACAACCTCTTTTGCTTCCAGTCTCTTCTGTTCTGCTGCTGGTGGCCAGGTTTATTGACACAGTCATGAATCTTACTCTTACTTCCCTTCTGTCATCGCTCTGGATAGCTCATCCATGGCTCCTTGGTAGAATTCAAGCTCCTGGTGTGGGTGTCAAAGGCATCATTATAATGGCTCGGCTTCCTATATTGAAATATCTGAAGTAAGCAACATTACAGACACAGACATCTTCCCCTTCACAACACAATTTGATGCCGCAGTGGGGATGATACACACACACACACACACACACACACACACACACACACAAAATGCAGTTGATCCAGGACCCTGAGGCTTTCCTATGCTTGGAATGCCCCTCCTTGCCCCCTAGAGTCAGTGCCCATTTCCTGAGAAAGCCACCCTTGATTACCCAAGTCAGAATTGATTGCCATTGATCACCAAAGCCATTGGCAAGTCATTTTTCTGAACATATTTTCAGTCTCTGTCTTAGCTGTAAGACACAACATGAGGCCCTTGCAGGAGTCTCTTCTTGCAGAGAATCTGGGGTCCTTGGCCATGGCCCAGGAGGGAGCACAGACCCTGTTGGCTGGCCAGGCTGGGCTGGGTGACAGGGACAGGAGGTGTGGCAATGAAGTGTGCACTTGCTTCTAGACGGTGTGGCCAGGAGATTCTGTTAGGCCC